AGTTTTCCTGGCCACTAGAGACTGACAGTGACCTGACATCCCGAAAACGAGCCGCCCTAACAAGGGAGGGCCGAGGATGCTTTAATGACGGATCAGGGCTGCTTTCCAGTGACTTGTCAGCGATGCTTTGAAGGAAAGATGTTGATCAAAATGGGGAAATGTCAAAAAAATATTAAACAGAGTCACTTTAAGATAGAGAGGGAGCTGCCATCCCAGAGGAACTGCTTTGCACATCTTATGCCTCAAACCTTTGAAATGTTAAAATAACCTTTGCACTGTGCCTAAAGCAACATTATGTCCCAAAGAATTGTTTGTAAAGATAAGACTACTGAACTGAAAAATTTTAATTATTTAGAATTAACATCACTACATTATATTATCTGCACCAATAGAAATGCCTTCCTGTCTATGGCCATACCACCCTGAACGCGCCTGATCTCGGAAGATAAGCAGGGTCGGGCCTGGTTAGTACTTGGATGGGAGAAATGCTTTCCTTCTAGTGATGTAATTGTTCCCCTTCCCTTTCTCATAAATACCCATCACCTTAGCTTCCTAACTGGGACATTATTTGGGCTTCTGTCTGAATCAATGCTTCCCTAGTAGCCATGTTTGTTTTGTTTTCTTTTTTAATCTCAAATGCTTGTTGCCTTTCACTTTGAAAACCTTTTTATTTTTAGGTTAACACACCTATAGAGAGAGGTGGACAAATCAATATGCAGTGGATTTTCACAAAATGAACATTGGGATAAACATCACCCACATCAAGTAACATTTCCAGGATACCTTGAATCTTATTCAGTCATAAACCAACCTCTCCCCAAGTAACCCTTAGCTAGATTTTTAACAGCAGAGATGAGTTTTGTCATGGTTTGGTAGAATGGAATATTACAGTGGAAATCCCTTGGTATCTGCCTCTCATTCAACCTTATGTCCCCGGGTCTCATCCCTAAGGCTGTGTGTGGTTGTGGATGATTCATTCTCACGGCTACAAGGGGGTCCATTATATGAAGAGGACCATACTTCTGTCCTCTGACATACATGGGCATTTGTGTTATACCTGCATGTCACAAATCATGCTGCTGTGAATGAATTTTCACATGTCTGGCACATATGCATGCACGTCTATCAGGTATATAAGTAGGAGTGGAAATGTCGGGTCATAGGGTGAGCGAACGTTTGGCTTTAGAATGTACGACCAAATAGTTTTTCAAAGTATTTGAGTCAATTTACCCTCCCACTGGCAATATATGAGAGATAAAATTAAATTCTTGCCAACAGTTGACTTTGTCTGACTTTTTCATTTTAGCCATTCTGGGGGGTGTGCATTATTGATATCCTATTATAGTTAATTTGAATTTCCCCTCTGACTAAAATGTTGAGCAATTTTTGTAAATTTATTAGGCATGTAAACATCTTCAATAGGACGATGGACTGGACTAATTGTTCTTGTTTTTAAGATTTTCTTGGGGAATTGGGGGAGGGGAACAGCATTGGGGAATCGGGGAAGGGAAACAGACAAGTTGCTATCCTTTTGTTCTTCAGACTAGTTGTGGAAGACGTCGCTTCCTGAACTTGTTGCAACAGTTTTGCTAATCTCTTTTGATAACACAGGGGTTATTCATTATGAATTTGTACCAACTAGATAGTTAACCAAATTTACTATTTGGAAGAGCTGAAAATGCTGCATAAAATGTTAGACGACCTGAACTTTTCACCAACAATTCATGGCTCTTGTATCATGACAATGTACCAGCTCACATGACACTATCTGTATAGGAATTTTTAGCCAGTAAACAAATAACTACATCAGAACATTCCCCCGTTCACTTGATGTGGCTCCCATTGACTTCTTTCTTTACCCAAAGATAATGTAAATAAATACTGAAAGGAAGATATTTTGATGACATTTAGAATATCAAGGGTAATACAGCAACAGCTCTGATGGCCATTCCAGTAAGAGTTCCACAATTGCTTTGAAGGGTGAACTAGGCACTGGTGTCGGTGCGTAGCTTCCCAAGGGGAGTACTTCGAAGGTGACCATAGTGATATTCAGCAATCAGGTATGTAGCACTTTTTCTAGGAAGAGTTCACAAACTTAATTGTCTGACCTG